AATACCGGCGGCGTGGCGCTGACGCGGCACGCGCGTGCGGGAGATGTCGGGTTTTCGTTACCTGTATACCACGCGACGGTGCGCGCGCGATGGACACATCATGGCGCGTCGCGCGCTCGTCGCGCTCGCGCTCGTCGCGGCGACGCGCGCGCGCGCGTGGAGGGATTTTCGTTCGGGGCGTCGCTCGTGGCGTTCGACCCGCGCGCGGTCGCGGGCGGAGATACAGGGCACGACGCGCGGGACGGGGGTGATGATGATGTCGACGCGTGGCGAGATCACGACGACGACGACGACGACGACGACGACGACGGGCGACGACGCGGGAGACGTTTGTTGGGGGGCGATGCGTGCCTGAAACACGAGTCCGATCCGATGTCGAAGTACATGTACGGGACGTGCGGAACGTTCGCGAAGAAGAATGAGGATCACTGGTGCTCGCGCGAGGTGTCGAAGCGAGAGTGGGCGTTCGACGACGAGGTGTGCGTGGCCACGGACGCGGACGTGTGTTGCGTCGGGGACGAGGGGTCGATCGCGGGAGTCGCCGTTGGAACCATCATCGGCATCGCGCTCGTGGTGACCCTGTGCGCGTGGTGCTGTAAGTGCTGTTGCTTTTCGTACAGAAACGCGCCGCGCGTCGTGGCGTACGCGCAGGGCGGACAACACGCGCAGACGGGCGGGGGACAAGTGCAGTACGCGACGCCGAATCCGGGTGGAGGAGGTGCTACGCCGTATTCTACGTCGTATTTTCCGAACGCGCCGTCGACGGCCGTGGCGTACGGGCACCCCGTCCAGGGGTTACCGCAACAACGTCCCGGGCAGCAACCGCCCACCGTCATTTACGTACAACAGCCGCAGCAGGCGGCGCAGTATCAACAACAACAGTCGCAGTATCCGCAGTACGAACAACGGTCGCAGTACCCGGCGGTGTAGATCGATCGTCGTCTAGATATGAATACCAGCTCGTGCATTCTTCTCACCGCGAGCTCCACACCGTCCGCGCGCGTCGCCGCGTCGCGTCGTCCCAAAGTTGAACTTCACACGCCATCACCCGCGTCACAGCCCGACACTCGGTGATCGTCCCGTCGCGACCGCCGACGCGGTGCGTCATGACCACAGCTCTTAACCGCGGTCGTGCGACGCGTCTCGACGCTCGGGACGTCGAGCACACGAACGAAACGGGCGAGAAACGAGAGTTTGATGATTTTCAGGAAAAACATCCCGACGACCGCGTGGACCTCGCCGTCGAGCTCGACGCGATCGCATCGCGCGCGGAGAGTAGAGCGCGCGAGTTATACGCGTTGGCGAACTCTCGACGGGCGCGCATGGTGGAATCGGGGAAAGCGTACGCGAGTGCCGGCGACGTGGAGCGCGCGTTGAGAGCGGCGAAGGAAGCGGCGGCGACGTACGGCGACGCGGACGACGATTGCGACGGTAAGATTGCGATTCAGGAGTGTGTGGAGGCGTGTGAAAAGTGGCTCAAGGCATCGGCGGCTTTGAACGCAGGCGTGCGCGCGGCGAAGACGGCTTCGAGGCGGAGGCGAGCGGCGGAGGCGAGCGCGGAGTGCGCTCGAGCGCTCGAGCGCGGGGATTTGAAGAGCGCGGCGCACGCGGCGTCGACGGGATTGGTGATCCTGAGAGAGCGTGATGGTGAAAACGATGATACAACTGAGGCGGATTCAGTGGCGTATGACGACGCACGGAGCGCAGTGCGGGCGTTTCGTGCGCACGTGGACGCCGAGTTGGCAAGTTCCATCGTGACGACGACGAGCCGCTTGACCATCGACGACGAGCGATTGGCGCGCGCGTGCGAACACTTGTCGATCGTCAGTCCCGATGAAACACGCGAGCGCTTCGTCGAGGCTTCCAAGACGATCGCTGGAGGCTTTTTAGAGCCGATGATTCAACTGGGCGTCGCGAACGAGCTCACGATTGTCGAGGGTGGCGGCGCGCTGCGGTACGACACGAAACCTCGCATTGAGGGGGGCGGTAAAGACGATCTGTTCGATGCACAAACATGTTTAGAAGATAGCTTGCGTTGGATCAGGGGTAAGATCCCCTCGGATGACGTCGCAAAGGCGATCGGTGTCAACTGCTGGGACGACGTTGCCCAAGCGTGCGTCTCCGCATGGCTCGGGAACCATCCGAGCGAACGCACGATCGATCGAACATGCGCGGTCGAGGTCGTGGCTGCGAGCTGTGGTTTCGTTCCACCGCCATCGGACGGAGCGACAGCGTACCCGGGCGGCGCTTTAGGACCTCTTGAATCCAAGGCGCTCGCAACGGAGATGCGAGAGGCGGAGAAACGGCGCGCAGCGGTGCTCGCGCGCGCGCGTGAGCTCGCTCTGAACGATGATCCAACGATGGTTCGCACGGCGGGTGAGGCTGGTGCGCGTGGAGTTGGACTCGGCACGGGCGAAGAGACCGCCACGTCCACAGGTTCGTCGCTCCTTGACGGAGCGCCGCGAACGGTGAGCAAGGCGGCAGATTTATTAGCGGAGCACGTCGACGAGGTCTTAAGATCCGCCGCCAATCTCGATCCCAACGCCCATCGTGCGGCGACGAATTTGGCGTCCACGTCCGCGGATTGCTTGGATTTGTTTCGCGCCTGCGTCGTCTCCGATCGCGCCGAGCAGCTCAACTCTATTCACACCGCGGCGCTGGTGTTTTACAACGACTGCCATCACCTGGCGAATCGATACAGTGCGAGCGTGTACGCGCGTGGGGCGGTGATGGAGCAACGGATCGGGCGCCCACTCGCACTTCTCTGGGTGGTCGAGCCCTTGCGAGCGCTTGGTGATGCCACTCGGAACGCGGCGAACGAGCGAGCGATGGCCGAACTCCACGCCGCGCTCGATGTCGCGGGAGGATTTTTGCGCTCAGCCGAGGTTAAGGCGAAGCGAAACATCGATAAATCCATCGCGCGCGCGCGAAACGTGATTCAACGCGCCGGAACGACGAGCATGTACATCTTGCCCGCACCCACGGGCGTGCGAGACGCCGCGGAGTTGGCGTCGCACTACGCGCGTCGAATCATCCTAGAAATCCTCTCCATGGACGACATCTCCGTCGAGGAATCGGAGGCGTTAACGGAGATTATCGCCGCCGCGTTTGCAAGTGAGGGTTTGGTCGGGACGAAAGGCGACGACGACGCCGTTCGCGCGCTCGTGCGAGAGGTCGGATCGGATTGGGGAAAGGCGCGAGAGTTGGGTACGATGCTCTCGGCGCCGCTGCGCGACATCGCCGCGGCGTGGGAACGAGGTCGTCTGCGCGAACTCGGATTCACGGTGAGCGAGATCCGTGGTTTCATCGCGGCTCTATTTAGCGAGACCCCGCTTCGCGCCGAGTGCTTGGCGAAGATCATCTAGTTCGTCGCGCCGCGCGACTTTCGCCCGCGCCGCCGCGTCGGCGCGTCTCGCGCCTCGGACCCGGCGGCGCGCGCACGAGCACCACTCGCTCGCATCGCCACGAACGACGTGTAACACGACCGAGTCTCACCTCCCGTGCGTCTGCACGTCGTTTCTCGCGCGCGTCGGAGCTCCGCGCGCGCGCGCGAGAACGTCCACACATCCGCGGGACGACCGCCCTGCGCACACACCCGGGGAACGCCGAGCGCCATGGGGGCCTCGTCGATGTGAATTACCATCGTCGACGACCCCGCACACGACGTCGACGCCTTCGATGCACACCGCGCTGACGATCGCGCGACGATGCGCGCGACGCGCGGTGACGTCCGGACGGCATCTCGGCCGGCCGTACGCGGTGCGTCGAGCGCGAGCGCGCGCGACGAGGGAGACGCGCGCGGCGAGGATGGGTTGGACTGACGCATCGCGACCGTCGTGCGCGCGCGTAGGCGGTGCCGCAGGGCGCGAGCGGGGTGAACTCGAACGCGGATGCGTACGCGGCGATTCGCGCCGTGAACGCGAACGTGACGGTGCGTGAGATGACGCGATGACGGGCGGGATGACGCGCGCGCGAAGGGTGCTTAAGATTTTGGATAGCGCGACGCGAGCCGAGGGAGTCGCCGGGGACTGACGATCGTGCCGCGACGCTCGCCGCGCTCGCAGTGGCCGGAGATGATTAATAAGCCGCTGGAGGAGATCGATCCGGAGATGTGCGAGATCATCGAGCACGAAAAGGCTCGACAGTGGAAGGGCCTCGAGCTCATTCCGAGCGAAAACTTTGTCTCTCGCTCGGTGATGGACGCCGTGGGTTCCATCATGACCAACAAGTACTCCGAGGGTTACCCGGGGGCGAGATACTACGGTGGTAATGAATTCATCGATATGGCGGAAACGTTGTGCCAAGAGCGCGCGCTCAAGGCTTTCGGTTTGGACCCGGCGAAGTGGGGCGTGAACGTGCAGTCGTTGTCCGGTTCCCCGGCCAACTTCCAGGTGTACACGGCGCTCTTGCAGCCGCACGATAAGATCATGGCGCTCGACTTGCCGCATGGCGGTCACTTGTCCCACGGCTACCAAACGGACACGAAGAAGATCAGCGCCACGTCCATCTTCTTCACGTCGGTGCCGTACCGCCTCAACGAGGAAACCGGTTTCATTGATTACGAAATGTGCGAAAAGACGGCGACGCTCGTCCGTCCGAAGTTAATCGTCGCTGGTGCCTCTGCGTACGCGCAACTTTACGACTACAAGAAGATGCGTGACATCTGCGACAAGACGAACTCCATCTTGCTCGCCGACATGGCGCACATCTCCGGCTTGGTCGCCGCGGGCGTCGTTCCGTCTCCGTTCGAGTACGCCGACGTCGTGACCACGACTACGCACAAGTCCCTCCGAGGTCCGCGCGGTGCCATGATCTTCTACCGCAAGGGTGAGAAGGGCAAGGACAAGAAGGGTAACGCGATCATGTACGACTACGAGGACAAGATCAACTTTGCCGTCTTCCCGGGTCTCCAAGGCGGTCCACACAACCACACCATCACCGGTCTCGCGGTTGCCCTCAAGCAAGCGGCGAGCCCGGAGTTCAAGGCTTACCAACTGCAGGTGTTGAGCAACATGCAAGCCTGCGCGAAGCGCCTCCAAGAGCACGGCGTCAAGCTCGTCTCTGGCGGCACCGTCAACCACTTGGCTTTGCTTGACTTGCGCCCAATGGGTGTCGACGGCTCCCGTGTTGAACGTGTTTTAGAGCTCGCGCACATCGCGTGCAACAAGAACACGGTTCCGGGTGACGTCTCTGCCATGGTTCCGGGCGGCTTGCGCATTGGTACCCCAGCGTTGACTTCCCGAGGCTTCTTGGAGAAGGATTTCGAAACCGTCGCCGACTTGATCGTCCGAGGCATCCACATCACCAAAACTATCAACGACTCCGCCAAGGGCACCAAGCTCAAGGATTTCCGCGAGGCTTTGGCCTCCAAGGAGTGGCCGGAGCTCACGCAACTTACCAAGGACGTCGAGAACCTCGCCACGCGCTTCCCGACCATTGGTTTCGAGAAGGCGGAGGGCAAGTACACGCAAGGCTTGTAAACGTCCAAACCTCGAAGATGACTGCAAAATCTTACCATTTCTTCGAGCGAACACCGCTCGATGTGTTCGTATTATCATTAGCATGAATTAACGCCACCGCGCGGCTGTTGAAATGTCCACAGAAATTTGTCGACGCTTAACTCTTCACCAACCACCTCACTCGCGTCTGCACACACCGCCGCTCCCTCCGACTTAGAGCTCGCACGAAATGCGATCGTACGAGCCAATGTATCACGTCGGGTGTCTCGGTGCGTCGTACGCGTTCTCGATCGCCGTCCCGCGAACGCGAATCGCACGATCAGACGACTTGAGAATATTTGCTTGCTTGGTGGATAGCGAGTCGAGCGACTAACCTGTCGACCTCACGCAGACGTCGAATTCGGCGGTGCGCACGCTGGATGCAGTTACAAGGTGTATTACCCAACAAATTTAAAGCCGAAGTGGGGATTTTGGCGTCGTCCAGCGAACGTGGAGACGTGGCGGGCTTACTGGGGGATGCTGGTTTTCCAAGCGAACGCTCAGCGGTGGAACGTGGCGGCCAGAGCGCTCGCGTGGGCATTTTGTTTCGTCGTTTGGACGATATTCAGAGTATTGGCGACGCTTGAGGCGAGGGAAGACGCACCGTTGATCGAGAGCGAAGAGGGATTGGACGTCGTGGCGTTTTCGCACGGCTTGGCCGGGTTCGCGACGTGTAACGCCGGGTTGGCGTGCGAGCTCGCTCGGAGAGGAATCGTCGTCTTCGCGATCGATCACGCCGACGGAAGCGCGACGGTGAGCAAGCGCGCAAACAGTAGCGGGGTACAATGGAATTTATACGTCCCGAATGGGGGGAAATTTGAGGCGAGACGAGCGCAGACGACGACGCGGTTGGCTGAAATTGCGTCGTGCGCCGACGTCATCGACGCCTTGAATCGAGGCGAGACATCGACAAAAAATCTCCTAGCGACGCGCAATAATGTTAACTTGCACTCGATGTTTCGAGGAAGATTGAAAGTGGATTCGAAGACGCTCATGGGCTTTTCGTTTGGTGGCGGTTCTGCCGTTGTCGCGTCGGCGAACATCGACACATTTGCTCGCGTCGTCGTCCTCGACGCGTGGTTGGAATTTATGACGGACTTGGAGTGTTTGGAGCGCGCGTGTAGAATTCCAACCCTTTCTGTGATCTCCGAAAAGTGGGGCACCAACGCTCGGACGGAAAACAAACACGTCCTGACGCGCGGCAAGAATCGAACGTTTTGCGAAATTGAAGTTCCAGGATCGAAGCATCACTGCTTTTCTGACGTAAGCTTTTTCTTCGGTGCGATGAAAAAGGTCATCGGTATGGTTGGAAGCGTGGACACGCGCACGTTCCACGCGTTCAACGCCGAAATCATCGCGACGTTCGTGCGTTCATCAAGCGCCGCGTCACTGGACGACGAGCTGCGAAGAGTGATCGCCGAATACGACTCATCTTTGCCCGGAGCGACGCTTCGTCGATGATAGGCGATGAGGTAGAATTGTAATTTTCTTGCGGTAATTTGTTCAATACATTTCGCATGCTAGTCCACGCCAACCGGTGGGTCAAAGAAGAAATTGTCGTTTGCCGTCGCGTCGCCACGTTAAATGTACTGCGACACCCATCTGAAACCTTCGGCGTATCCCATGCGTCGAACCACTGAGCACATGAAGACCTCGATCGGGCGCATGTTCGTGTTCTCCAAGTTTACCTTACCCTTGCCCGTGGTGTAATTCGTCAACCCAAGGCAGTGTCTCAGCTCCTCCTCGCTCGCCGCGTGCGGGATGTCAATCTTGTTCCCCAAAATCAAAAACGGCACACTCCCAAGTGAGTCATCACCGAGCAAAGAGTCGAGCTCCTTCTTACTCTCCATGAATCGCTCCTTATCCACCGCGTCGACGAGAAACACGATCGCGTCCACCTTGGCGTAGTAATCCTTCCACACCCGCCTGGCGACTTCGTGTCCGCCCAAATCAAACGCCTAAAGTGATCGTCCATGATAACACATCGTCAGTCTTTCCATCGCGTATCCACACCAATCGTCGCGTAAACCATCGATTCACCATTCACAACATCCGCCACCGTCGCAAACGCCACAAAAATTATCAAATGTCGCACCTTGAACCTGATCTGCCCAATGCTCAGCTCCTCGCTCGTCGGGTACTGCGTCGGCTGGTGCTGCGCTAAGCGCTCGTCCTTCAGCATGTGCATCAACGTCGTTTTCCCGGCGTTATCCAAACCCTGTGTATCGATCGAAACGCATCGCGCGCGGCGTGATGGGCGTTAGTAAAGAGAGAAAAACGCAGAAGAATCAACGTTTCGCGGATCGCGCCTTCGTCGTCGCTTTGCTCCGAACGCGAGCGCTTTACGAGTCAAACGAGCACGTTTTACGCACGAGGAATAATATCTTGGCGTTCTTCTGCCATAACCCGAGCGAGGCAAGGACGTCGTAGAACCAATCGAGGATGAAGACCATCACAGCGGCTCGGACACCCGCGGCTCGGAGTGAAGATGGAAATGTGACTGATCATCTTGTGGACCGCACCTCGTGACTCGCGGAGCGTTGACGAGAAATTTTCACATGGACAGGTGCGTGAAGATGTGCGCTACGACCACGTCGACGAGTTTCGCGTACAAAGCCGTCAAGGCGAACAAATTCGGTACAAAGGTGGAGCGAATCGCCTTGAAAGTGAAATCAACCACGAATGGAAACGACGACATGGGTTCACACGCGCGAGTGATTGTGATCGTGCCCGGGTTCTTAGCCAGTGCCGACGCATACGCGGAGATGTGTTCGGCGTTGAGGCTCAAGTTGGAGAAGAGAGGTGGATTGAAGGTTGACGCGCGCGTCGTGCCGGTGACAAAGGTGGATTGGTGGCCAACGCTGTTCGGGAAGGATTTCTCGTCGATCACGGATAAGATTGACGCTTCAATCCGAGAGGCCTCGAGTGTTTCGAGAACAGGGCGGGTCGGGGTCGTGGGGCACAGCGCGGGGGGCTGGTTGGTTCGATTGTGGATGGGCGAGAAGAGATATTGCGGACGAAGATATTCCGGAGCGCACATGGTGGATACTTTATTGACTTTAGGTACGCCACACGCGAGCGCGGAGGCGTATCCGTTCGGTCGAGTGGTGGAGAAGAGAGAGAACGAGGATAACGAGGGAGTTCCGGAGGAAGCCCGTGGGTCGTCGTTAGCCTTTACCAATTTTCATTACCCGGGTGCGTTCTTTGATTCGACAAGATACGTAAACGTCATTGGCGACGTCGATCCCGAGGGCGCAGATTCCTTCGATCTGAGCGACGTGCTCGACGCCAAGAAATCTTCGAGGGGCGGTGAGTCCGTCATGGACCGCGTCTCTCGCGCCTACCGCGCCTGGATCTTCGGCGTCTCCTACGCCGCCAACTGTCGCTCGGCTCGTGTTCGAGGCGACGGCGTCACCCCAATCACCACCGCCCACGCCCTCGACGGCGCCGAAGAGATCATCCTCCGAGGCGTATACCATGGAAACGCGCAAGGCTCGCCCTGGTACGGCTCACCCGAGATTGTCGACGACTGGATTAGATTTTTGTAGCGCCGCGCACTCATAGCAACAGCCGCCGAGCTCGCCCGCACACGCCGACGCGCATGTCACCCTCACGTCCCGACCTCGGACTCGTGCAGTCGTCGCGTGAACTTCATTCCAACCCCCCGACGCGCGCGCGGGTGGAGATATGCCCATCGCTCGACTTGAATGTCGCGCCGGCGAGCGCTTCGGGCTGCGCGCTCACGAATTGCTCAACGCGTCCCTCTCCCTCGAAGTTTCTATGGCCGCTCTCGCCCGGTTCGACCGTTCGTGACGTCCGGGAGGACATAGAGCGCGTCGTCTTCGGCGCGGCATCATCGTCAGGGACGATGCGGACGCGATTGGAGTTAGGCGGGTGGACGCTCGTGGATGCGCACCGGGTCGCGGACGTCGTGCGGGACGACGAGGTCGTTCGCTTGGTCGCCTCAGACGGTTCTATTGATGACAAGAAGGTCAGTTCACCGAGTGGTGCGCTCGCGAAGGCGTTGGCGCGACCGTTAGCACCGGGAGTGAGCGATGGGGAGGACGGCGGCGAAGACGTGGACGGGCGAGGACCGAGTCGGAGCGCGCGAAGGAAGAGTCATAAGCGAGCGAGACGGCGCGCGGAGGCGGAGAATGAGGACGATAACAAAGAGGAGGAAGAGGATGGTTCGAATGAACGCGTGCGGTCTTCGATTGATAAGTCGAAGGCGGGCGTGTCGACGTCCGTGTACGGAGCCGAACTGCTCGGAGAGTATCCGACAAAACCGCGACCGCTTCGTCCTGAGGATTACGTGCACATCTCGGAGCCGTACGTGCACGATCCAAACTCAGCGATGGCGAGATTGCTCGAGCGTCGAGCGAAACACGAGGCGGACGTTCGCGCGTCGGGGGCGGATGCGTGGGAAAAGAACGTCTTTCGATGCGAGATGCCGGACGAGGAGGTGGAGGAGTTCCCGCTCGCGCAGGCGCTGAAGCGATCGGATTTCATCGCTTACAAGGTGCGGTACCCCGACGAGAGCGAGACGGAGTACTATCAAGGTCGAGTGATGCATTACGATCCGCAGACGAGCTTGGTTCGGGTGAAGCCGGTGCAAGAACATCGCGTCACCGCGGCGGGCGAATTGTTCTTCCAACAGGGCCAGCGCCCGAGAGCACCGTTCGATAAGTTTGGTGAGATAACGGCAACTTGGGTTAAGAACGCGGTCGATCCATACGTTGAAAACCCATTCGCTGACCCCGTGATCGTGAGCGTGAGACTCATCGGCGGCCGAAGCGTCTGGGAGGGTGACGTACCATCAAAAATCTGGACGTCTGGGCGCAAGTTTACAAAACCGGCCGAGTTGGCAACCGGGCGAGAGAGAGACCAAGGAGCAGTACGAAGAATGGCTCGAGGAACACATTCGCATACATCATTACCAGATGAAAAACGCGAAAAAGTGGGACGACGACATCGCTCGAAGCGATCGAGAGCGTCGACGATCTGGCAACGAAGGTCGAAGGCGACCGCATCGACACGAGCGACACTCACGACGCGATTGGACCGACGACGGCGCTCACGACGCGAACGAAGCGGATGGTGCCGACGGTGAGTACGTCGAACCCTGGCCGACGTCCGCCGAGGAGCTTCAGGCTAGGCTCATGGCCGAATGGAACGCGGCGGAGCAACAAAATGTCAGACATCCGACCGCCGAGCCAATAAAGGATCAAACACCGCCGCGACCGGGCGGTCTACCCCCACGCGGCATACCCGGCGTCTCCTACGACGCTCACGCGGATCAGCCGCCTCCACCGCCCGGATCACCGCCCTCGGAGGCTGCAACGGGGAAATCCAAGGAACCACCCGCGTCGGCGCGAGAGACGCGCTCCACGCGCCGACGCGCGCGCGCGTCCACCGCCGCCGCCATGGAACTCTTCCGATCCGCCGGCGACATCGATTAATTGTCTTAGTAGCTATTTTTTCGTACAAATCCATGGTCGCTTCCGAGAATTCGTCGCATTTCGATCTCTCGACGCTGCGCGTCCCGCGCGTCCGCGTCGCGAGCGCGCTCGAGGCCTCACTTCCGGCCCTTCACCTCGCTCGGTCGCCCACGGGCGCGTCCGCGCGCTCGCCTGAAGTCACCCGTACCCTCTCTCGATGGGCACGCTCGGGAGAGCGCGAGGGCGAGCGAGCGCGAGACGACGAGACAACCGGGATATCGAGGCGCGCGCGAGACTAGACGCAAAAAATTCATTTTTGCGATCGAACGCGGCCCCGTCGAGCGTCAGGGACGTCGTTACGATGGCGGCGAGGACGTCTCTGGACGAGGAGCAGCGCGCGGCGGCGATGGCGGTGATCGGAGACGAGGAAGGGGGAATGGTGGGTGAGAGGGTTGCGTCGGGCGCGACGGCTGCGTGCGCGGCGTGTCGCGAGAAAAGTGCGACGAGCGTGCGTGAACGATCGGAGTGGACGGCGTGCGATGTGGTGAGAGCGAGGGAGTCGGGGAATGCGGTGCTCGTGGCGCACGGAAGCGTGTACGACGCGACGGAGTTCATCGAGCGACATCCGAGCGGACCGGCGCCGATACTGCGAGCGCTCGCGAGGGATAACACGGAGGATTTTGATATGCACAGCGCGCGCGCGCGCGGTTTGTGGGAAAAACATCGGATAGGAAGGATCGTGCGGTGCGAAATTCACGGGTTCGGGGAGTTTATTCCGCCGGAGAGCTCCGCCTCGTGCGCGCTCATGTGAAGACGCCGCCGCGTCCGTAGTTCATAGCTCATATAGATGGTCGTAATACGACAACACTAGCGTGCTAGGTAGCAGTAGATTACAGTCGCCAACGACATCGGTCGGTCGTTTCCTTTAATCATGGCGCGCCTCTTCTTCGCAGAAGAATCCTCTTTTCTTTATTTTATACAAACACGGATGGTTTTCGTGCGTGGACTCGTATTCGCGTACATTTTCACATCTTACGTGTACGTAATTCATCACTGCGCGAGAGCGCCTCTGACGAGGTCGGGAGAGCTCTGGATCATCTTTGTGGACATCACGCGCGTCGTGAGCAACTTTTCAGCCAAGCCGACGCCGAACGCGGCGTGCACGCCGCTCTTCACGTTGTCATCCTCTCGCAGCAATCGCCTCAAGACGCCGTCGTCCCACTGAAACACTCGCGCGCGATTGACGATTCGGACCGTCGCGCTCGCGGCTCGGGCTTGGATCGATCCTTCCTTGTTCACTTTACCGTTCTTCCCGTGCTCGACGCTTCGCATCAACGACATCTCGCCGATAAAGTTGCCCGCGGGAATCGTATTCACTCGCTTCCCACCGATGAACACGTCAGCGTCGCCCCGAACGATGACGCACACGCTCACGTTCGGCTTCCCCTCCGTCGTGACCTCGGTACCGACGTCCAAATCCATCCATCGACCGCGCGAGACGAGCGTTCGAAAATCCGCCAACGCCATGTGCGAAAAGTGTCGCTCGTACAGCGCTCGCTCTTCCGCGGTGCACCACCGCTCGGCGTCGCGTTCGTCGAACCACATCTTCGCGACCCAAATCGCGTTGATCGCGACGAAGAGCGCGTTCCATCGAATCGGCAACCACAGCGGATCCGCGCGAAAGTATTGAAACACCATCGCCGCCGACAACCCCCCCACCGCGAGCGCCCGCAACTGCATCAGATCGCTCGTGAGATAGGAGTACCCCAAGAGTAAGAAACTCACGTGTCCGAAAACTTCCCGCACCGAGGTCGTGATCTCGTACGCCGCCCGCGCCCCCGGGACGCCCACCCGCGCCCGCCGCGCCCGCGTCATGAACGCGTTATTATTATCCGTCGCCGTCGCCACCACCGCGCGCGTCGCCTCGCCGATCGACCCTTTCCTCACCATCGCGCTCGACTCGTCGTTTTCCCGTCCCACCACCGCGCGCGCGGCCGGGCTCGAGCTCGACGCCGCCCGCGCGCGCGATTCCCCGCGTCCGCCCGCCGTCCCCGTCGCCCACCTCCCGTCCACCGTCCACGCCCGATCGACGCGCGCGCGAACCCCCCCCCCGCGCGCCTCGCCATCGCGCGCGCCGGTCCAGAGCGTCCCTCGCGCCCAGCTCGTCCCCGTTCGAGATCGCCCGGTCGTCCCATGCGTCCCGTTCGTCATCATCCATCGTCCGACGCGCGCGAGCGTCGACGCGACGTCGCGTCGACGCATCCGTCGCGCGCGCGCGCGAACGCGACGCCCGGTCGTCCGCGCGCGCGCGTCCGGCGCGTCGCGGCGTCGCGGCGCGGCGGCGTCGCGGGGCGTCCCATCCACACCCGGGTGTGTCGTTTGACATGTGCATTTGAATGTGACATCACATCCACGCCGCGCGCGACGCGCGACGCGTCGACGCGTCGATCGCGACGCGCGCGACGTCTTCCCCCGCGTCACCGCGTCGCGGGGTCGATCGGGACGCGTCGTCGAGACGCGCGCGCGCGCGTCGAATCGGCATCGTGGGTGAAAACACCCGATATCAAGCCATCCAACGATCGCCCGACCGCCCCCCCGCGCGCGCGTGGGCGCCGCCCCGTCGCGTGGACGTCGTCCCGTCCCCGCGCCCG